AAAAAAGAATCTATTTCATCTGTCTGTACATGTTGGACTGGGGTATATAGATTTAGGTAACAAGTTCGAAAGAATTCATTTATTGATTCTGGATCCCGAATCGTGTTTCCAGTAGTGGTAGATATTGCTGTAATGATTGTTCTGTTTCTTGCTTTAGCTGATTTGCTAGGTATTTGCTAGATTTTTCTCCATATTCAAATCGTTGCGGTCTTAGTTTAACTATTTGTTCTGTTTTTTTTTCAAAATATCATTGTTCATTTTTAGTTTTCAGGAGTTGCTTTAACACACATACATGCATACACATATGCAAACGCACATAAGAACAATATAAGGACATTGGAATATTAAAATGGGGTACTGCGTGGAAAGCAGAGGAGACACTGTGCATACTGACATGAAAATGTTAAAGAGAGATCATGGGAACAGATCATGAGACATGCAATGACTAATAAGAAATTGTTACGTTACATTCCGACGTTGATTCTCGTAGATTCTTATAAATTAGAATTAGAAGAAAAAACAGTAGGGGGGGGGGGCGTTTTACCCCACTCTACCCTATATATTACTATTATGTGTATGTACAAGCTTAATAATTAAAAAGAATAAAATATAATTTTTTGCATTACAGTAATGAGAATTATTTTTTATTATTATGAATATATTTAATCTTTAAGCAAAATGTATTTTTTATTTTTTTTATATTGTGATGAAATATGACCTAGACTTGATCTACTGCACTTTATGAATATGGTAGTACTTTATTTATTCCTGAACCTTGTAGTGATTCTGTGATGCTTTTATTATCCTGAATTATGTCAGTGCTCGTTTTTATGCAGTTGTGGCATAGTATAATTATATAAGCGGATCATCACAACAGTCAATGTTAAGACTCATGTATGCTTTACTGTAATCATTGAGATGAAGTGGAGTGTTCTGTCGGCCCTGTGGGTAAAATGCCTTAATAAATTGTGCAACGTCAGCAAACTATGTTTTGTGGTTTATCTTATGCATATAAATAATGTAAATGACAAGAGGGAGAATGTAGATGAGATTACTTGAGGGGAGTTACCATGGATGACAGATGTCTAAATCTGTAAGTATCTGTTCATTCATCCTTTTTTGCAATGTGGTTAATAAGACTACATTAACATGCTATTTAAAGGTGCTGAAAGTGACTGTTTTTAAATTCCATGAATAAACTTT